CGTTGAAGAGTCGGGATAGACAGAGGCGGGCTCCATAGTGATACACAGCAGATACAGAGAGGACTGTTCACATTATACATCTCAAATGTTGGATGATTCAGCAAGTCAACGGCCCAGGCTCACGGCTGGGCTACGAAGGCAGTGCGGAAGACGTCTTGCATGCCCAGACACTGGGCGCCGTCTTTGCTAGTCGCAAGCTTTCTAGGTCCTAAGTGGCACTGGAGGCAGGTTTTGTAAATTAGTGAAGCTGCTCAGAAGGAATTACCCAGTGTGGCTGCAAAACCACAGAGGCGAAGAGGGCAGAACATGCTTCATCCCTCCCCCAGGACTAGCTTCTTAGCTAGACTGACCCTCTCCTCAACACACAACCTCTGTGGTCACTCTTGCAGGAAGCCTCCCTTCTCTGCTGCCCCATGCACAAAAATACCCCCCCCAAAAAAGCTCAGAAGCTTTCAAACTGAATGCACAAAATACCTTGAAATCTAGGACGCTCGGATTTGAAGTGTTAGGAAACAAAAGGACAACGAGGTTTCAGCCCCTTCCTCCCAAGGGCATCAAACCTAATGCAGGAATCTCCCTAGGAAAATACAAACGACGGAGCGGCCCAGTGGCGTGCCCTTTGTCACAAGGCATGCACTGCAAGCGCTTGGCATCAAAATAATTAAACGAAATGAAAAACACCTTTTTGTGGTTCTTGTGCCCTGGTCACCCAACAGGAAGTAAAAAAAACAAAAAACAAAAAACAACCCCAAATCAGCACAATGATGCTTCAGATGGCCACATACAAAAACATTATCTATATACAAACTTATATACAGGGAAATGGCCTTGCAGAGCTGATGAACATAGGTTTGCAGGTGGAGGCGTGCTCGCCGAAGGCAGCAGGGCCCTTATTCAATGGGCAGACAGGTGGAGAAGGATGCTAGCTAGGCCACGCGTAAAGGAAAGACACAGCCCCGCGGTGCCAAGCAGGAGGTCAGTGCATTAAGGCAGCGAGTGGTGGGCTCAGCAGGGGTGCAACTCATTTAGGAGCGGCCTTGGCAGGACTTGACCCGATCAAAATGCTGGCTGGCTCTAGAAGCAGGCCTGCTTGCAAGCAGCCAGGCTGAGAGCTCAGTCCCTCCGCTTGGATTTCTTCCCTCCCATTAGAAATACATGAAAATGCCTCAATTCTGGATATGGCAGTGTTTTCAGGATGGGAGTAGGCACTCCTCATCTCCACCGCTGCTGCTAGCTAATGAGGACACTGGGTGTCCAAGGCATCCTAAGGACGCTGGGTGTCCCTACCCGGGACATCGTGCAGCAGTAACATGCACCAGGTCACGTGTCCCCAGGCAGAGGTTGGGAGCATTTCCCAGGTCATCTAGCCCACAGCAACAGCAGGATGAGAGAGAGAAACCAAGTGAAGTGGGGCTGTGATGGTGCAAACGTTCAACCCTAGTGAAGTCCTTGGGAATACGGCTTGGGCTTACATTAGCTCAGCCAAAAAGTGGCCTCCAGCCTCCAATGCATCCCCCCCTACCAGGTCTAAATCCACCCCCCAGTTGCATCACTAAAGCAAGCCTGGCAACAGCCTCAGCCTCCAGCTTTGCTCTTGAGCGGGCAACAAATTAGGGAGAAACCCAACCCAGACGCAGGTTTTAGTTTAGTGAGGTCTCCGGCACCTGCGTCTGCAGACGTTCAACCCCGAGTGACATCTAGGCCAAAAGGGATCACCTTCTTCCTGCAGCAGGAGGAGCAAAGCAAAAAGATGCCCGCATACGGAGAGAAGCACCATGCAGGTCAGGGTGCCAAAGCCAAGAGAAAAGCCCCACGGAAAACGCCGGCTTGTCAAGGCCGGCTGCATCGGAGGAAAGACCAAGTGCTTCCTACCCACCCCGGGCACCTTGCTCGTCTCCTTCTCCCGGCAGGGAGGCTGTGGGGCGAGGGGCACGACCTCGATGGGATGAAAAGAGGGCATAGCTAGCACGGCAGGGAAAGGGGGCCTCTCCTGGCTCTTCTCCCTGGGTCCGGCACGGAGCGGAGGGACGGGAAGGGCCAAGCAGTTTGTGGGCAGGGCGGGGACGGAGCCTATGCCGGGGGCAGGTGGGGGGCTCACTCCCCTTCCTCCTTGATGCGCTGCTGCTTGTTGCGCCGGGCGTCCAGGTCGAAGTTGAAGTCGTTCCACTCGTCGCGGGGTGGGAAGGAGATGGTCTGGCGCAGCGTGAAGCGCACCGCGTCGATAACCCGCTCGCCACGGGTCTCGCTGGAGCCCACGCTGACGGTGGAGGCGCCGCTCGGGGTGCGCAGGAGGTGGGGAGGGGAGGAGAAGTCGTGCAGCTGCCGGTGGTCCAGGATGCCTTTCCAGATGGCATGGCGAAACTGCTCCGGGATCTTGAGGCTCACCAGATCCTGCAGACCAAAAAAAGGGCTTACAATGGGGGCAGCTGCACCAGAGATCTGCTATCGAAGGACCCCGCTGCCTCCCATCCCGCCCAGGAGCCAGCAACCCTCATGGCACAAGGCCATAAGCCGGGAGTGAGACCAGAAATGCAAAAACACTGCATCTCTGGGTGGCTGCTTCAGCTGGGACCGTGCGAGGCAGCAAGGCAGGAGGTGTCCAAGATGCATGGGCCCCGAGAGCAACCTGGGGGACCTCCACAAGTTGTCATTAAGGCTTTTCCATCAATGCCTTGCAGGCGGCATTGCCCATACGCAATACCTTGCAGGCAGCCGTAGGCTATGCCGCCTGCAAGGCACCGATGGAAGAGCCTTAATGCAGATGAGTTCAAGGGCACAGCACTAGAAACCTGGCCTGTGTGCCAGGCCTGCCCTCTTCATGCTCCTTCCTGGAGGCTTAGAAATCCACTTGTCCGGAAAGATTGCTTTGTATTAAAATGAGGGTTAATTAAGGACTGTCCCTAGCAGGACAGAGCTGAAGAGGACAGGAGGGATTTTGGCTCCGGCACTGCAGAGCAACTCCGGTCCCTCTTAATTACCTGGGAGCCACTGGAGCATCTCCTGCCACCGCTCCCTGCTCTGGACCCTGCAAGATCTCCCGCCTGAAGCACGCAGCACGGTGCCTATTGCACCCAGCTGTGAGTTCAGCATCCTACCCTGAACCTCCCTGAGGTTTGGGACAGATGTGCATGTCTGAACATCGGGTATTAGGGACCGTCTCCAGTTCATGAGGCATCACTGGGTTTGCTTGCTAGCTAACAAGTGGGGTGGGTCTGCCCTGCCCCAGTAAGTGCCCTGGTTGGACTGGTTAGCCGGTGTTCAGTTTGGATCGGTTCTCCCAGCCGCGGCAGAGAGCAAAGAAGCAGCGCAGCCTGCAGAAGCGAGAGCGCCCAGCCCCAGCGGGGATGCAGCAGCCGGAGCGGGGCAGGAGGAAGCAGGCCTGTGCAACGAGCCATGCGGGAGAAGACCAGAGGGCAGAGAGCGAGCACCCAGAGGAAAATCATGGAAGCAAGGGGTGAAACGAGGGCCAGAAAATCGCAGACCACTGTCAGGCAGCCATGGGGGACACCAGTGGGCGTGCAAGTTGTGGGCATCTGAACCCCCAACGGAAGGGCACGGTTTGGGGAGAGGCTGGTTGGAAACTAGCTGCACTTGCACGTCTGCGCAGAGTCGCCTGGGAGTCGCGACCTGCTCGGCCTGGGGCCGCGGGGGCCAGGGCGCAAGCAAACAAAAGGGTGACACAGTTACTTACATCCATGGAGTAATGCTCAATCTGATAGATGGTGGTCAGCCCCTGGGTCGTGAAATAATCCACGCAGGATGAGCAGCCCAGCCTCGCTAAGAAGCTGCAGAGGAGGGGGGAAGGGAAGGAGAGAGAGAGAGAGAAAAAGGATCACCCTGGCTGCAATAGCCCAACGCAGACAAACCGAACACTCAGCAACCAGGTCTGGGAGGCAACGCCTTGCACGCCGCCTCCGCCGAAATCTCCGAGGCCCGGCGATGCCGCCACGTGCGCAGCTCCGTGCATGGCAAGTCAAGGAGCCAGCAGACTGGCCTTCCTCATGCCAGCCTGGGCACTGCGGTTTATTTTTAGCAGACAGAGGCTAGGAGCGTGACATAGGCCTCCGGGGACGCATCAAAACCGAAGCACCTCCCTTTGGGAAATCCAGTGTTTAAACCTTATTCCACATATGCAAACACCAGAACAACCGATCTGCCCTTCCTCGTGAGCAGGGGCCGACGGGTTAGGATAGGCAGCAGCACCACGTCGAGGCACCTCGGTTCTCACGCCATCAGCGGCTCCCGGGTACCCTCAACTCCTGTGGACTCGCCGCTTGGCCTCCGCAGGGCAAGGCTCTTTGCTTCTAGACGGGGGTGACAACTCATGGCTGGGGGTGGCGAGATCAATTCCTGCTTGCAAAGCCCGGGGGTGCTGGCATGGCCGGGTAAACAGTGAGCGCACCAAACCCGGTGCCCCAGGAAAAGGCATGTTTATTTTGGCGCGAATCTGGCTCCCACTCACCTGACGATGCTGCAGTCAGAGGGGTAAGGAGGAGGGGGGGTGCAGTGAGACGTCGAAGGCATGGAGAGCGGGGGAGGCAGGCCCTGCGTGGGGCTCAGGCCGTTCATGTCGCCGGTCATCGCCATGTGGGCGCCCATCATCGGAACTGGGTGGAAGGAGGAGCCGGTCGTTACACAGGAGCTCCAGGCCTCCCAGCCCAGCCCCAGGGGGGCAGAGACCCCAACTTTTCAGAGAACGTCACAAGCATTGTGCTCCACCCCTCTCCCTCGCCCCGATTATCTCGGGCCTCGAGAAATGACAGCCCTCTCTCCTGGCCGGGGTAACTGGAGACTGCCTCTCCAGCGCTCCCTCGCCCCAGCCAGCCTCCGTCACAAGCAGGCCAGGTGCAAACCTAAGCAAACTGCAGCCCTCGCCGCTGTCTTTGCTGTCAAAACACGGACAGCGCGGTAACCCAATTCCCAGCCTGGTTTGCAGAGGCCCCGAGTGCCCCCAGGAGGCAGGGAACAGCTGCGGGGACGAGTGGGGGGAGACCCTGCATGGCACAGGCTTTGTTTAAAAGCAAGGAGAGGTTTTGCTAGACAGAGGGACGTTCATGCTTTGCCCTACAAATCAGACGGGCAGCAAGCAGACAGCGCAGTGCGCTTGTTTTGCTCCCGGGCACATGGGAACGTGTGCAAAGCTGGGGCAGATGGCATCCCTCCCGGTACCCAGCTCAGGGCACGATCGCTGCCTTCAAGGAGTCTGACTTGGCTCTAGGATTACTGTGCTGCTGACAGCCCTGGAGATGCAAGTGCAGGGCAGGGACAGCAGTTCATGCCTTCCCCCGTGCACCTCCACCTCGAGCTGGGGGTGGACTCCTGCTTGGCTGAGGACCGCTCCAGGCGATGCCCAGGCTCATGGCCATGCTATACTAGCTGGGAAGGGACTCCATGAGAATCAGGAAGATGGATAACTTGCCTAGTCACTTCCCATGCCCCCGCGTGGCATCTTATTCCCAGGTCCCCCCTACCTCCCATGCCATCCACTGCTGCCCCTCACTCTCACCCATCTCCCCGCTCTTATCCCACAGCGCAACAGAGGCTTTGCACACCTACAAACAGGGACCTGCAAGAGAAGGAGCTTACTGTTGCCTCCCATGCCGTCAGGGATGGTGGTGGGGGTCAGGGCGTTGCGCTGCTGGGGGTTGATGAGCTGGCTGACTGACGGCAGCTTGTTCATGCTGTTCATCTTGCTGAGTGGCGGCGAGCTGGAGCCGTAAGTCGACTGGGACTGCATGGAGCTCCTGGGAAAGAGAAGGAGAGGTTATAGCAAGCGACAACGCTGCCATTTTGGAGCAGGGGCATTCATGGCTCCGTGGGCAGGGAGAGAGGAAGGGGTGCCCACACTCCCCTAACTAGATACCAGGAGACTTATTCCCAGAGCTTTTCAGCAATGCCCTTTTTATGGCCAAGTTAAAAAACCAACCCTTCCCTCTCCCCACAGTACCCAAGATCTCATCAAAAACAACCCAGAAAATGAACTTGTTTCATTTCTGGATCCAGCATTTCAGGTTTTCATTTAAGAAAACAGGAAAACATTTTAAAGGCTGGGATACAAAATTGGAAAATTTCTTCCAAACAAACTTTTTTTTTTTTTTGTGCAAACATTCGCCTTCGGGGTCACAAAACCATTTTTGAAAAAAGGGTATTTTGAGGGACTTTTATTGTTGCTAATAGCTCCCTGTGGGTGGTTTAAGTCTTCAGGGTTGGGTACCGCCATTATGATACCAGCTTCTCTAAGACTCTCCCAAGGGTTTGGAGAATGAGGCTGATTGTGCCTTTCCAGGCACTCCCGCAGACCAGAAAAGCCTGTGAGCACTTCTGACGTGTGTGCAAAAGACCAAGATTTTTTTGGAAGCTTTCTAAGGGATTACCTGTACAAAACTGGCTTATTTGAATGCAGACTGGGTGTTCAAATCCCCTAGGCTCCTCTGAAAAATACCAGCCTTGAACCGTCACTGTGTAAAGCCAAGTCAAATGAAGCCTGCAAGGAGAGGGCTGCTTCGACTCTCCAATCCAGGCTGACCCCGCTCAGTCCAGCAATAGTGCCCTTCTCAGTTACAGACCTGGCCGGAAGGAGAGCGGCTCATGAGACCCTTCTCCTTTCCACCCCAGACTGCTTACGAGGCAGCGATCCAGCTGGGAAGAGCACAAGCGCGCAGACCAGACGGCTTATGAATGGCAGCCCGGTCTCCGGATCGCGTTACCACTGCGGCATTATTTAGGATATGCAGAAAATGGGTCGCTGAGCTGCTCTAACAGTGCAACTGGCAGCGCGCTGCACTGTCTCCCCCCCTCGATGGCGGGAGCAGAGATCTGGCACGTGGAACGCGCTCTTGAGTTTCCCGAACAGGACGATCTCCGTACCGTGCTCCTTGCCCGGCAGTCACAGAGCCCGAGCGAATGCTTTGCACCCCAACAGGTACAGGGTTAATGTCTAGGGGTGTTTTTGCTGCATGGCTTCCCACAAGGAAACTGGCTCATCTTCTGCACGTCTGGTTGAACTGGATTCCTGGGAGCTGGCTTTCCTTGTGTGTAAAGGGCGTAAGGGCCTCCTGAACCATTCCCAACTACAGACTTCACCGTGTCCCCAGCAACAACCGAAGTTTCTGGCCGGTTTGAGAGGCTAGCTGCACGCAATGGGGAGACTCAACACCACCTGCCTGAATCTTGCTGGGTTGGGTGGAACAAACATGCGAATCGGGCACTGGATCTAAATCCCTGGGGGCAGCTGACTAATTGCACAATTATGAGAGCAAGGGAAGGGCGCACACTGCACGTTGGGGGCGCAGATGGCACAGATAAAATCCAACAGGCTTTGCAAGAGGCGAGGAAATGGAAAGGGTTTCTGATCAGTGTTAAGCAAGAGGTATAGCTCCCCAGGGAAAATGAAACCCAACCACGGAGCTCGGACCCAACGTTTCCAGGCAGGATACAGATTGAGATCTCACGTTGCATTTTTAAAAGCACACACCAGCCACAAAGGTCTGGCCTACATTGACCCCCAGGCTCAGAAGGCTTTGGGATATCTGTTACACACGTCTCTCCCTCCAGAAACGTGTGCCAAAGTCATTAGGTGCTTATCACAGCCATGCACCCTGGATAACGTGAACCCAAGAATTAACTATTGGGACATTGGGGGGTGAAACCCCTTTGCTTTTAAGCCCAGAAGGCATACGACTGACCCCGCAGCAGACCTCTGCGGGGGTCATTCTGGGCAAGGCAGTCAAGTTGTGCAGAAGACAACCTGCCCACAGCTGGTGTGTAAATTTGGGATGGGTTGCATTTAAAGGAAAGTCCTATTTCAGTAGCACAGATTTTTCTGTGGCTGCATGGACAGGCAAGACCCTCAAAAGTGCAGCGGGCCTAACTCTGTCACCGCACATCAACGGCAACAGGAACAGGGTTAGGCCAAGGTTGAGTGCTTAACGTGCCACAATCTAGGCGTTCCTGGCCAAAATAGGAGGATTCGACTGTCTTCTCACAGGCACGAGATGACAATCAGATACCAAATACCCATACACACTGAAGTTAAGCTAAACCCACATACAATATATAGAAAATGAAAGCAGAGACGGGCAGCGAGGGAAAATCCCCAACATAAACCAAGTTGCAAAAGTTTATTGAAAATGAACGTCACACATTCATATAGCAACAGCATCAGGAAATGCAAAAAAAAAAGACAGCTTCTGATATTAAACACACAGTAGACTACGTGGTGTTTGAGACAGGTGGCTTCTTCCCATTTTTAATAGGTATGGAAAATTAACGGGCGTGCGAAATTCGCATATAAAAATGATGCTTAATAAGTTGCATGGAGGCTTAAAGGCTGAAACGTTTATGGGATACAACTGCCAATGAAATGCATTTTAACAACAAGGCATCAGGACTGCAAATACCCTGCTATTGATGCTGTTTGGGACAGCCTGCCTGGGACAAAAAGGCACAGAGTGAAGGGCAGCAGCTGATGCATCTCTCCCATCATGAAGCTGAGTCATGATATGGCCAATAGTATTTGCAATTATGCAAGCTAATATGGGGGTAAGCAGTTCTCATGCTCTGGGGCATAAACTGATTATCTAGAATGGACAGGGAGGGCATTTTGTGCGAGGCATGGCTTAGTTGGCAGCATACTTCACGCACAATTCCCCTTTCCTCCCCATTCCTGGGCATTGGCCCTTACAAAAGGACCCTACAGATCAATGGTGTGGTCCAACAGCACATGCCCTGCAACACGTATGGTCGAGATTACAGGATGCTCTGTCATGCTGCTGAACAGACGAGCAGTAGCTGAAGTCCACAAGTGTGTTCACCACCATGAAATAATATTTCCCAACTGCAGTCCAAGACATGGTTATCTATGCAGATCCCACGTGAGGTGTCCTCGAGTCCCAGGCATCGGATCATAGAAAATGGGGGTTGAAGGGACCTCAGGAGGTCACATCTAGTCCCACCCCCTGCTCCAAGCAGGACCAGCCCCAACTACATCATCCCAGCCAAGGCTTGGTCTACCTGGGGCTTCAAAACCTCCAAGGATGGAGAACTTCCAAAGATGCAAAACTTCCAAAATTCCCACCACATCTCTGGATAACCTGTTCCAGTGTGAGAAAGTTTTCCCTAATATCCAACCTCAACTCCCCTTGCTGCAACATGAGCCCATTTCTTCTTCTGTCATCTGCCCCCGCTGAGACCAGTCCAGCTCCATCCTCTTTGCCACCAAAGAGGTTGTATGCCATAGCAGGGCCACAAATGAGCTGTGATGTCCCAATCCCACATCTAAGACAGACACAAAAAACAAAGTGACCACCGCAGGATCCCAAATGAGTCCCAACAAGGAGACAGCTTGGTGCCCTACATCTCAAAAGAGCCTCTGGCATAATAAATGAGCCAGCCCTTTGGTCTCCAAGCACATGCATGTGGATGATCAAGCCGCAGCCCACCAAAGTTGGGGCGCTGTCCTCTGGAAGTCGGCATTTTGCCTCAGAGCTAAATTAAGAGGAGAGAACTTAATGAAATGGGCAGCTGTTGTATGCATACATCCAGGATATGGGAACGGAGGAAGCAAAGTAGCTGGTGCTAGCAGAGACAGCCATACTAATGTGGAGAGGAGTCTGTCTGATAACAGCTATGCAATGGCCAGTCTGCATGGTTATTCTTTGGGGAGAGAGAGGAAGGCAGACAACAGGATTTGTTTGACCAAAGCCATAAAACAAAGCTTCTGAAATGCCTAGAGAGAGGAGATTTCCTCCAGAATAGGATTTTGGCAAGAAAAGTCAAGGTCCAAGCAAAGATGAGACCTCAGTGATGCTCCATCTCCATGGAAGACAGGATCAATCCTGAGCATGCAGCACTCGCCGACCCCGCTGGCTGAGGCAATGGCCATTTGCAGGTGTAAGGACGGGAGTTGGAAGAAGGACCACAGAAGGAGCTGAAAGGAGCCACGAACATGCTTCCTAGCCTAGTAGTGAGATCTCACATAGAAAGGGGATATGCAATTACTCTTTCAGCTACTCGATATTGTGGGATAGGAGAAGCAGGACAGAGCATTTCAAGAGAGACCTTCAAAACAGAGGCTTTGACTCAAACTGAGGACACGTGGGGCTGCCCAGACTGAAAACCTGATGAAATAAGTTTGTACAGAGGGCTTCTTATTAGGTGGCAGGATCTCCCAGACTGGGAAAGGACAGTCCCCATATATAATGTCCAGCCAGCCAACATCCATGCTGCCGAAGGCAGTGGTCTCAGATCTGCTTACTAGTTGAAGAGTTATTAAACGTAACGTACTCCAAAGCTTATATTTAATTAAATTGTTCAATTACGTCTATCTGGTGTGCACAACATCTGGATCTGGATGTAGTATCTTACCCTGAGTCTGTAGCATTATGAAGTGAAACGGGGGACTGGATGGTATCTGGGGACGTTTCCTTAGCCAGAATGGTCTCAGCTCTTCCATTACGCCTCCGGCGGTTCTGTCTGAGCTGGCACATTTTTCTAGGGATCATAGCTCAATAGAAGGTCAAAGACCCACTCAGGCCCAGACAACCCATTGGATTGCATGGTTAAGGCACTTGGGTTTCTGGAGCCAACAGCATGCAAGGGACAGATGTAGCAAGCATCGTGTCCAGCCACCCATTTACAGCTGGGGGAAGCCTCTGATGGGCAAAGACTCAGGAACAGAATTGGATGGGGCATGCATGGATAACCACCTCCAACCCCCGTCTGCCTGCTGAGACCAATCAAGCCC